TGAATGATTATCTCCATCTTTGTTGTGATTATACAATAAAATAACAACAAACATGGGAATAACAGTCGTAATGTAAATAATAGAGAGAGATTCAATTAAGCAAACGAGTATATTTTTCTTTATTTTTTTTTTTCTTCTGTAGTTTTATTTTTGCCTGTTTTTCTCAACTTTATTTATCTGGAATTAAAATATTTTTTCATTAAAGAGAAAACTGTAATTTTAAAGTGTAAGCAAACGAAGTTGGTTGCTTAGCTGGTTTTGTTTAATGGTATATCAACACATCTATGGGTTATTTAATGACGAAATATAAATATTTTGAACACAATTTTACGCCCTCAACTAAAATGTGTAAAAGGTAATTTTGCTATAAAATTGTAGTGTTCATAATTTAATATAACTAGGTATTGTTAGTAATTTTACTATAATTATGTATCGTTGATATTTTTTGTATATAAAAATATATTGCCGGTATATTTACTATAGTAATGCATTTTTATATTATAGTGTTTTGTTTTAGTTTAGGGTTTCACCATTTACCCATAGCTGTGACCCTAACGGGTGCTACTACCTCGGGTCAGGATGGAACTGGGAACAACAGCAATTAAGAGGTGGCTACACGCTCCTCAAAACCTCAAGTCTCCCGATTAGAAGCCTCATTGTCGGATGTATTTTATCGTCATTCCCAGGACTACGTTACTGTCATTTACACATATAATAGCCCTGTTCTATCAGTAACACTCTCTTTCCTGCTTGTTCACTAACAATCCTTTTCTTCCTGATTTTCATGCATATTTATAGTCAACTCATTAGCAATGCATTTTCATGATACATATAATAACCCTGTTCTATAAGTAATGTTGGCATTAATACCTGACCACTCTTAAACGACGTGGGTCTAAAATGGGTGTTCGATTTCCAATATGTCTATAAAGCAAAACTGAATCCTGACTTTGTGCCCATCTTTATGACCACAGAAGTTCGATCTATACTGTAAACTTAATTCTAAACTGGGCTCTTTTATTAATTTGTGTCCATATAGCCATTGTAACACGATCCTATTGTATCATGGTCCCGGGCAACAATGAAAAATACAGCCGGTTTTAAAATAGAGAATTATTCAATGTTTCTTTCTAAGGCAACCAGAGAAAGAACAACGATAACCATTTGTCTGTCGCTCGCTCCCCCCCCTCCTCTGGCGAAATGAATGGCACCTTGGAATAAGAAAACGAAGAGCTGGCTTAGAATTCCAGCCGTACGTGCAAATAAACTTAAGAAAGATATGAATCTTTTTCTTCTCCCTGCAGCTACGAGTTAAATCGAAAACACCATTGTTATTTCCCAAAACTTTTTAATGCAATATTCGCTCGCAAAAATAAAGAAATATTCTTACAATCCAAAATATGTTTCGGCTTTAATATAAACTACAACGGGTTAATAAAACGTAAAAAAAAAATCCAAATCGGCCTCTCCAAGATTTCGCTGTACCTCTACCTCCCACTCTCTTATGTCTTTCTCTCTTTTCCTTTCTCGTCTCTACCTCCCTCTCTCTTTCTTTCTTTCTCTATCTATCTATCTATCTATCTATCTATCTATCTATCTATCTATCTATCTATCTATCTATCTATTTCTTTCATATTGTCGTTTCCTATTATCAATATACTTACTTCCTGGTCGCATCTCTCTCCCTCTCTCTCACACACAGACTAGATCTCTATTTCTCGTTCTTCTTTTCTTTCTTTTCTTCTTTCTGTGTGCGTGTGCGCGCTTAAGCATTGTAAGCAAAATATAGTGCGATAAGCTGATTTTGGAGGCGTTATAAAAGTAAACAGTACAAAACCTGCAGAAAAGTTCTCGGTCCAACCAATTTTTAAAAATCTAACCAAAACACAAGTTATTTTTATTAGCTTTATGATCGCAGAGAGAAGTTTTCGGCATTCTCACACACAATAATTGTCCCAAAATTATTATCAACGATATGTAGCAAGAATAACAACTATTGCCTCGTAACAATTGTACATATCAGGATGAAAGTTATATAAACAGATTTACCAGTACTTCAATTTGATATGTTGACCCCACGCAAATTGGCAAAAAAATGTGAATGATTTTGATAATGGCTGAATTTTTATAGCCATAAGACTACAACAGAACCGGTACGCCTTGTAAAAGAATACTTTTCTATAGTTATCCATATCGAAGCAAATCAAGATCTGTCGTTAAAGTACTGGACAGCCAAGATTTATCGATATGAGAAAAAGCCCATAATGTGTTATTTCCACCTACGTGATTTCATTCTTTTTTCAAGAACTTCACATTGTTTTTAGGCTTATCCATCCCCACGAGAGGCTAAGCTGCTGGAGCATGGGTGCTTTTTTTTTTCTAGATAGATTGCCAACCAAGACTAAAGAGCTACTATCTGCCCATTAGGTGAACACTAGTGATTTTGTGCTAACACATGCATCGTCGGCATTTGAACAGTTTCATTTACTCAACTTCAATTGTAAAGCTTAGATCAACACTTAGTTTTCAGGCAGTAGTTCCTAGTGGCGTCACACGCTGATATCGTCTCTCCAGGCTGATATTATCAAGAAGCCCTCTCCTTCACAAATCAACTACGGTGAGTTTCGAACCCAGGTATCATGGTCGGAATGGTAATATTTTCAGTTACTGTAGCTACCTTCCGTCAAAATAGAGGATTAAATTTACCACATCACATCAACCAAGTACCAGGGCTAGTCAATGTCCACCGCCGAAAACGTGTCCAATAAATACACAATAGTCGACCCTGATTATTGATTAATGGAACGAGGTAATCAAGTCTCGCTTTCTCCAGAACATGGGCGTTGTTATCCTGGAGAAGCGATGATATCAAGATAGACTGTGGATAAAAAGAAAACAAACCAGTGGTGTCAATGAGACTAAACAACGTTCTGCTGTGAATCAGTCATTCATGTGGAAAATACTTTGTTACATATCACATCAGTCAAGACGAGGTACACAGTTTTCTATGGTGACAGTAGCAATATTTAGCCGGACAATGTCACCTGCCACTCTGGACAAGTTGTATGAGAATGATTTCAGTAACACGAATAAGACTTTACGATGTTGTCTTACACACCAAACTGACCAGATTTTGATCCTATTAAACACTTACTAATAAATACGATATACTAGACAAGCCTGATTCTCTCAGTCCAGACTATGACGATAAACTACATCTGCATCCTGGGTATGACGATAAACTACATCCTGCGCCCAGGGTAAGACAATAAACTTCATCCAACAGCAAGGCCTCTGATCAAGAGACTTTGAGGAGCGTGGAACCACCTCTTAATTGCTGGTGTTCCCAGGTCCACCCTGACCCGGGGTGGTAGCACCTGTAAGGGTCCCAGCTATGGGCAAATAGTTAACCCCGAAACTGAGGTAAAAAGCATTATGAAAGTGTAAAAACAGGTTTTAATAACAGAAATACTTTATAAAGAATTATTACCAGAAATAATTATAAAAAAAAAAACTATTACCAGCAATACGTTTTTTAAAAAAAATATTACCAGCAATACATTTTTTAAAATAATATTACCAGCTATACATTTTTGAGGAAAAATATTACCAGAAATAGATTTTTGACAAAGCAAAAATATTACCAGGAAAAAAAATTGTCGGCATTAAATGGCGCATTGAGGTTGATATGCCATAAAACAAACCAAACCAAACCAGATTCTCTCAGCAGAATTTCCAAAATGTAACTTTCTGCAGTTAAACAATCTCCTCAAAATCATAAAGGACAACTTTAACGGTCTTGCAGAGTCTATGGCAGATCATACAAGTTTGTGGAGAGAAACGTGAGACAAACGTTTAGGCAGATGACAATCATATGATCGTCAGTGTATATACGTTGTTGATCGTGAAGGCATTCACCTACTTTAAATATTTCAAAAACCGTCTGGATGGTCTTGATATAAATTGGTAGCAAATCAGAGAGGCCTTTTCTGTTCATATGTGAACGGACACTTTATTGGAGAGCTCTATTAGATTATTTGTCTCGTGTAAGATAATTTGCATCACCCTCGGGTTCTTTCAGATTACAACAATCCATATTTAATTCCTTGTCTTGTTTCTTTTTTACCTCGAAGCAAAACAAATCCATGTTTTGTAAATTCGCTGACAAGATTAAGGACAATAATAAAGTGGCAGTTGCTGGCAAATACCGAACAATGAACGGTGGAAGAATGGGCGTGTTAGGTCACAAAGGAGGAATTTGAAAATGTCAATATTAATACTAGTTTTTTTTTTGTTTGTTTGTTTGTTTTGTTTTTGTTTTTTGTTTTTTTGCAATGTACAAGGTTCAAGATCCACTCGAGGTAGAGGGTTACTAAGTGGTAGGGTTTATGAGGTATGCGAGGAAGGTAACGGTTACCCCTGGACTTGAACAGATTAAGTGTTTGGGGAAGCATCCTCTTGGGAGCCCCTTCCATAAAATAGTGGTTTCCGGAAAAAGCTGCTCGAGCGAAAGTTACATCTCACCAACCTGGAATACGAAAAAATGTTTATGCGTCTAAATATCACCATAAATTTGAAAAGATTGAAAATCAGTGAAACATTAAAAATTATTTTCAATAAGTAAACAATATAACGTTTTATAGATATATTAAAGCATCGAGTTATTTTTTCTTTTTTTTGCTTTTTTTTTTTGCTTTTAATCTTGTACTCAAGACAACCAAAAAATGAAAGAAAAAAAACTAACAACCAAAAGATTGCTGCTATCCAACAAAATTTAAAATCTGATCGAATGGCAAAACTTTGAAAAAAGATAAATTATTCCGGAAAGGCATGAACCGGACTTCCGTTTCAAGTCTGTTAAAAAGTTGTTGTTTTTTTTAAAGAATCGTTGATTCTGTGTCACTATTTGTGTCAAAATATAAACTACGACCTTCTACCTATTCACTGAACTTTGTGCAAGATCAGATGAAAGGGTAGGAAAAGATGTAACAGCATTCCAAATGCGGAGGTCCTCTCTCTCTCTCTCTCTCTCTCTCTCTCTCTCTCTCTCGTGATATTTCCGTTAAAGAGCTAAAGAGCCCAATCTTCTATTTATGTTTTGGTGTCCTCCCTCTAAAGAGTCTATGTTGGACTCCTCCGCGTACTATAAGATTAGTAGAAGAGAAAGCCTTGGGAAACAGTTGAATAGATTGAACGCTGGGTCAACCGACACACACTCACTAGTCGTGTAATACTTTTCGGTTGTACTTAATATATGATATATCTGCAACACTTGTTTTGCTATTTCTTTAACCATTTATTTAGTCACAACATTTTAACCCGTTACTGCGTTCGTGCCTCTTTCTCAAGAGTTCCATTTAGAGCGGAGTGAAACCATCCTGGACTCGAATAGACAATTCCATTTTTCACATCGTTAGGCAACCTGCCCACCTATGTCCGTCTACAAGCCTTGAAGATCACCATCCAAAAGTTTACATTTTACTTTAGGTAAACACTGACCAGTAGTAACAACATCAGGCGCTAATCGACCAAATTAAGCCCACTAATTTAGGAAAAGTGTCGCGAGATGGTGTGTATTGACAGTCAATATGTGGAATTAATGAATCGACTTCGAAAGTCGGATGAAGTTGTTTGTATTACTGTTGTGCTTTTGTTTTTAATTCTACCCTATTGTATCGCCATATCTTCTGACGAAGATCTCATCACTGGTATGCCATGGTGTTTTACGGACAATAGAACTCATTCAGGTAAAACAATCTCTCTTTCTGCTCTATATCATGTAGTCCAATATTAATAGTTACATTATGTTTGAAAATGAAACTGTCACTGTCAGACAACTCCCCCATGTTATCATAAAAAAAAAAGTCTAGCGTAACACACCAAGGGTCCTCAGGTTATAGAACTGCCCAACCAAATGTTTAACTACTAAAAATCTTTTGAGCTACTGAACTCGCTACAAAGGTACTTTATACAACTAATTTCTATGCTAACACGTCTCTTTAGCTTTGGAGAGTGATTAGTATATCAACGGAAAGACTGTTAGTTCTCTTATCTTTTAATACTGTGCATGACTAATTTAAGCTTAGTATATGGTCAGTTCTCACTGGATGATTAGCACGTTAATTTTTTATGATGGACCTTCGGATCCAAAGAAGACTTTGTTTTGCAATTCATCAGTGAATCCGAAGGTGGTTCCGCAAAGTCAGGGTGCACATAGTCTGTATTGTATAGCCCCCTCGTTCTGGGGCTCCCTAGTTTGACGGGGTCGATTCGATAATGCTGTATCTTCTCTCTCTTTTCTTTCTTCTCTCTCGGTCGGGTGATCGCTAGTTGGTTTCTTCGGAGGTAAAATGAGAACTTTACAACAAAAGGGATTTGAAACTTATCTATTTTATTAAACACGTCGGCGTGTACATTATTAACTCGCCAGTAGGGGTCACCCTATCACCCCCACTGGGGAGCAGGTTCCATACACGAAAATAACACGTCTGTATTCTTCGACGTGTAAAACCTAACACACCGAAAACACTTTCTAACTTTAACCTTCCCACGTTCGGCTCAGCCAATCAAAAATGACATCCCTATTTTGTCTACCATCTGACGTTAAAGGTCAGCCTCAGACGCTCTGAGCCAAAATACACTGCCACTAAAAGATAATAATCTGAAACTATTATTTAACATCTGAAGGAGTGGGAACACTGGAAATCAATGGCCGTGACCACGGACAATGTGGGACGGTGACACTGTTCGCTTTGAAAAGTGATTTCTTTTAAATCCGGGCTTCTTTGATGTTTGCAGAATCGTGGTGTATAATGTCACACCCGCGTGATTGGTCGGCAGCACATTTCTATAACTTAATTTTGATTGAGTTTTCGTACCGTTTCTTTGATCGGCCTTGATGTCTTCTGACACATAACCTCTCCATACAACAGGCGTCTGAAAATTCCATGTTACTCCATTGTCCAGGCCCACGGATTTGCTCCTTTCCAAAACATGACTGTGCGGGAAGACTCAGAGTAATGAGAAAGTATGTCGAACTCGTAGTACTAGCAAACAACATAGTCTCAGAGAAATGTGGAGGCATGTTCAAATCGTAGCCTTAGCCAACTACAGAGACTCGGTTAGCAAGGTCGATTTTACTGCTTTTAGACTACAATCTTCCATGAATCACTAACGTACATTCATATCTGCTCAATGCTTATCCAAATGTAAACAAATGACGTCACACATTATGAAATGGACAAAGTCATTTGTTTACATTTGGATACGCATTGTGCAGATATGAATGTACGTGAGAGATTCATGGAAGATTGTAGTTTAAAAGCAGTAAAATCGACCTTGCTAACCCAACGCTTCTCTGTAGCCCAATCGGTGTTAAAGGCACGTCAGGCTATATGACTGACGGTTCCATATAGGATACAGGTTCGATTTCTGTCGGAGAACGAATATTTTCTATGGAAATTTCTCGGACATTCAGGCCAGTAAATGTTATTAATACTGTTTATTATAAAAAGAGCATTTACTTAAATATTTGTATCTATAAAAAGAATGTATAAAAATAAAAACGTCTTAATATTTATATAAACTTCTTCCTTTATATATCCTTCTCAGTTTTTATTCGACTTTTACCATCAAAACATCCGGTAGAGTAAAGGGACGCTATAACTTACATTACTTGATCTCATTTTCTGCTAGTTTTAAAGTTGTTTTTATATTTTCAGAATTTTAATATGGCGTAGATTAATGTAGAAATTCTAATTCACAGTTGTAACAACCCTTACGAAGTGAAATTGTTTTATGGACTACTAAAATATTACCGTAGACACCCAATTTGCTATTTGTGTGTGTGTATCTGGGCTACCAGTAATATTATGTGACCCCCACGGGCCCATATAGACCCCGGTTGAGGACTTCGGCTCTAAACCAATGTAGAAATGCCGATTTATGCATAAATAAAGTCGTCATTTTTAACAAATGATACATATAGGAATCAATTTATCAATCAGTATTTATGGTAATGTCATCTCCTTTGTCAACAAACTGTTTCCACGGGTAGAGTTAACTGTTTAATCGTCAGGTAGGCTTGATTTAATTGGGAAGGATATTAGAACAATCTAGACCTTTTTCTGAAAACAAACCGCCTGTATACGGATAAAAAAATGACTTCAGTAAACATACAAAAATAGAAAAGGGTCATAAGACAAGGATGTACCTTCTCACCGGACTTATTTCACCTTTACAGTGAGGCAATTACGAGTGAATTAGAAGTTCTACCATGATTCATTATTAACAGCCACAATCTTAAGATAAGCAGGTGTCACGGCGTTGATAGAAGACACACAAAGTAATCGCCTACATAAAATACAAAAAGATAACGAGAAGAAAGGACTAAGCATCAATTGTAAGACAGAATGAATGGTTGTCAACAAAAAGAACAACCTAAGATGCCAACTAAGAATTGGAAGTGCGAAAATCTGGCACCGAAATTCAAAGGCACATTGAGATAGCGAAAGATGCCTTCCAAAAGTTAGGCAAAGTATTAAGAAAATTTCGTTAAAAACAAAGAAAAGAGTACTGGACTGTTATGTTGAACAATCTCCAGATAGATGTAGAAGAGACTTGAGGCAACAGAAATGTGGTTCTACAGAAGGATGCTAAGGATACCATGGACTGAACACGTGACTAATTACAAAGTTTTAAGGAAAATGGAAACAAAAAGGACAGCTTTACATAGAATCAAAAAGAGACAATTAAAATTTCTCGGGCACATAATGAGGAAACAGGGCTAGGAAAATTTAACACTCACAGGATACACTGAAGGCAAGTGGGACAGAGGACACTAACACAAAAATGTGCCTAACGAGATTATGTAAATGGTTGGCAGAACAGGGATTAGATGACATAGCGCGACAATGAACAGGAAGGTGTGGAGAACCGTGATCGCTAACGTCCTGAAAGGAAACGGCATATAGGTGAATATACATGACAAAGATGCACAAACATGGAAATAATATCTCACTTTTTTTTATAATAGTTACGAACTAATTTCGTCTCTGCGTATTTAAAAACACTGAAAAAGAGAGATAGAAATAACAGAGAGGGATAAAAAGAGATTGAAATAACATAGAGAGAAAAAGAGAGATAGAAATAATAGAGAGATAAAAGAGAGATAGAAATAGCAGAGAGAGAAAAAGAGAGATAGAATATCAGAGAGAGGAGATAGATAGAAATAACAGAGAAAGAGAGAGTGAAATAACAGAGAGAGAAAAAGAGAAATAACAGAGAGAGAAAAAGAGAGATAGAAATAATAAAGAGTGAAAAAAGAGAGATAGAAATGACAAAGAGAGAAAAAGAGAGAGAGAGTTTATCCAAGCAAAGATGTCTCTATGCCAATCCTTGTTTTCTTGGAATCGGATCGAATAGCTTCGGGTGTTCGGTTCGTTTTTCGATTCATTAATTCTGGATTGTAAAAGAAGGTGCGAAAATTTCATCGTTCGTTTATCGAAGTTTTATTTTTAAACGACCGCTAAAACTCAAAACATATATTTCTTATTCTTTTCCAGACTCTCAAACTTTAGAGAAAAAAAAAACATTTGTCAAGGTTTTACACATGGGAAAACATGTTCAAAATTTTTCATTGACTAATTCTTTCGACAATATGACAGCTTTTATTATTTTTCTAACTTTCACTGCGTTTTCCGTGTGTTACCTGCCACGCTCATCATTAACCACGTTAACTGAACTATGGCACTCCCCAATTTTATGATCATCAACTTTTGGTGCAAACATTTACTATACCTGATCACGTGATCATAATCAAATGAGATTGCATTTTAAAAAGATGGCAAACTGAGGAGTTATTTTGCATAAACCGAAAAGAGTTCTCTAACTCAGACGCAAGACAGATCAGGGCATAGACACACGTCTCTAAATCTCAGTTTTATATTAAATTTGAGACATATTATGGCATAGACACACGTCTCTCCATCTCAGTTTTGTATTAAATGTGAGACATATTATGGCATAGACACACGTATCTCCATCACATTTTTATATTAAATGTGAGACATATTATGGCATAGACACACGTCTCTCCATCTCAGTTTTGTATTAAATGTGAGACATATTATGACATAGACGTACTTCTCTCCATCTCAGTTTTATATTAAATGTGAGACATATAATGGAATAGACACACGTCTCTCCATCTCAATTTCACTTTTGGATATAATAGAACGGTGAAAACAGTAAAGTTACTGCAAATAAATTCTTTTAATGACTCCAGTTGCATTTTCAACTGCGGGTGGGATAAAAATTAACTTTCTTTTCAGTCTCATCGTACTAATCTCAAACACGTCATAAAACTTTTTAGTCTTATCATACATTTCAGTAGCATATCCTATCTCTTTTCAATCTCATCATATATTTTAGACGCTTTTTCTTTCTCTTTTCAGTCTCTTCGTAATTTTTGGAAGTATTTTACATCAATTATATGGCTCATTATATCTTTGATAATCATTTCGTATCCCTTTTTAGTATCATCATATCTTTTAGAACCATTTCCTATCTATATTCAAACATATCTTTTCGAATTTTTTCATACTTTTTTTCAGTTTTATCATATCATTTAGAAGTATCTCCTAGCTTATTTCATTGTCATAATATGTTTTGGAAGGTATCATATGTTTTTTTTTTCAATCTCACCATTCTATTAGGAGTATTTTATATCTCTTTTCACTTTCATTATGTCTTTTAAAATCTTTTCCGTTTCGTCATATCAGAAACATTTCAGCCTTCTATAATTTATAAGCATTTACATATGTCTTTTCAGTCTCATATAATTTATAAACACTTCCTATTTCCTTTCAATCTCATCATATCTTTCAGATGTTTTTCATATACTTTTTCAGTTTCATCATATCATTTATAAACATGTCCTATCTATTTTCAGTCTCATCATATCTTTTAGATGCATTTCTGATCTCTTTTCAGTCTAATCGTAACATAACTTTTCATATATTTTTTCTCTCTCATTATATCTTTGTTATGCATTTCATATCTGTTTTCAGTTTCATTAAATATTTTAAGAGCATTTCATCTCTTTTTTCAGTCTCATCATACCTTTTAGATGTATTTTCTATCTCCTTCCAGTCTCATCATATCGTTTTGAATCTTTTCATATTTTTTCAGTCTCATCATATCTTTAGAACATTTTATATCTATGTTCAGTTTCATCATAGCATTTATAAACATGTTCTATCTATTTTCAGTCTCATCATATCTTTTACAAGTATTTCATATCTCTTTTCTGCTTCATTTTATCCATTTGAATTCTTTCCCAACTGTCTGCAGTCTCTTAATAGGTTTTTCCATCTCTTCATTTCTCTTTTCAGATTCTTCTTACCTAATCATTCCGTATATATATATGTGTGATTGTATGTTTGTGTGTGTGTTGGAGAGAGAGGGGGGGGAGATCTTAGTTCAATCAAATATTATCGATTTTTGTCTCTTCGTATCTATCAAAAAATCTGCCCAAAAAGTGAAGCTTGTTTTCAAAGTTTCACGCCTTTTACTAAAACTAAATTAACTCTAAAAACAACAGCCGTAATAAAAAAAAAAAACTACCACTCACATGTATTTCATTTCTTTAATATTAACCTCTTTCATCGCTTTGTTTAGAAATTGGTCATAGTTTCATTCCTATTATACATGCATGCGCCCATATATATATATATAAAACAAATAATAATTTCTAATTTTCAACTTATCTTTCCAACTCCAAGTTTTGCAGATATACTATCCACTAGTCTCGCAAGAGTTAATATTAATATTCTATAAATTTACTGAAAACATATGAAAATGCTTAAAAAAATTCTGAAATTCAAATATATCAAAGAAAGTTAGACCCCCCTCCCCCAAGTATACTAACACTTTAATTTTAATTAATTTTTCTGCAGATATCTCTCCTATACGTAATGGTAAAACCTCAAAGATAGAAAACTTATCCAATACAACATATAATGGAACAAGCTCATATTAGATTATGTCATACAATAACGTCTTTAGGAAAGAACAATTTTAAAATAAGTTCACGTTTTCTAGAAAAAATGAATCACCGTCTTTTCAGAAATATATTATTTCTGTGAATAAATTCAATTTTACTCGAAAGCATTTCTGACGAGCGAAAATAATAATCTCTGAAACTCAGAGTCGAAAAGATATGTTGAACATATAATCTAATTTCCTGTTATTAAATATCTATTTTTTAATATTGACCACTTTGATTACATAGACTGCTTTAAAAGTGTTTAGAAATACACTGGTCCAGTCTTTTTTCATTCTCTTTGTTATATATATATATATATATATATATATATACACACTTATAAATATATGTATATATATATATATATATATATATATATATACACACATATATATATATATATATATATATATATATATATATATATATATATATATATATATATATATGGGGGTTGTCTGCATGAGTGCGTGTATGTGTGTGAGAGAACTGAACTGTATACACATGATTTTTATTATAGTGGTGAACACATTTGCAGTGAGCTGGTTCAAAGTTTACTACATAGTCTCTTCAAGTTTCAAATTCTGTGTCGTCCTCCTAGACTAGTTGACAATCAAGGCTAATGAACCCAGATTACTCTGCTTGTTAAAATATAGCTGGTGTGTTGATAGGAAAGACATTTATACTTTTTCCCAAGTGTATTTGTGCAAAAGTGGCAATAACGAAATGGACTGGAATTTTGTTTTCCAGTAGCCATTAGAGCAGCTGCACATCCTATATATATATATATATATATATATATATATATATATATATATATATATATATATGTATGTATGTATGTATGTATGTATGTATGTAATTAACCAAAAAGGACAACACGAGTCGATATTCAAGTTGAACAATTTACTAAGTAGGTAGGTATTCGCCTTTTGTCGTTTAATGGGCACATATATATATATATATATATATATATATATATATATATATATAATTTAGCTCTTGAAAATATATTACAATTGAGACTGTTGAATGCTAATTCTACAAACTGCCACCTGCGTTAATGCGAAGCTCTTCAGTAAAATGAATGGAGCCCTCCGGCTGCATGACATTAGTTTCCATTTGTAAAAACAATAGATTTAGCGACCTCGTTCTGTCGAATAAAGATAACTCAGCGGTAGAGACTCTGACTGACACTAAATCAGTTGGGTTTCAATCCTAGCTTGAGGCATTCTCTTGTCTAATCGCACTGTAAAGCTGTGATGCAGCGAAACAGTACTGTCTATATATATATATATATATATATGAGGGAGAGAGAAAGTCTCCTCCATATATCAAGCGAAAGCAATTTAGTTACACACCATGCTCAAGAACACAACGCATTATGATTGCAGCAATGCTGATTTTTTTTGTTTTACTAAAAATGCTGAAAATTCAGATTTAAATAAAATTGCAACAAAAACAACACTTCTACTACGAAAAATCACGTGAAATAATTTTTTGATGTCAACGAACACTCGTTGTCACTTTTGTGATGTCAACGAAGACTCGTTAACTTTTGTGATGTCAACGAATACTCGATTAATTTTTGTGATGTCAACGAACACTCGTTAACTTTTGTGATGTCAACGAAGGCTCGTTAACTTTTGTGATGTCAACGAAGACTCGTTAGCTTTTGTGATGTCAACTAACACTCGTTAACTTTTGTGATGTCAACGAAATAAAAATTAGCTTTCAACAAGAAAATCCGCAGCTTTAACCACAAAGCTACGTGTGATAAAAGCAGGTTACAAATCCGTACTCAGTTTTCCACCACACCCTTCTCCACTAATTCTTTATGCTAGTAGTCAGTCATTACTTAGTAATTCAAGTAAAATTACTTTACAAAACATTTCTTAGATATAAAGTAAATCAAATTATTATTTACTCCCTGTTACTGATGTGTGTGTGTTTTTTTAAGTTACTGACCTTTTTCCATGACAAGAATAAACAGTACAAAAAAAAAATATCATTCAAAAGGTATTTATTTATTTGTACTTTCATGCGGATTACAGTCAAAATGAAAATATTAACCAAAAAATGATGTGAGAGAATACAAGAAAAAAAACACTATTAATGTGAGAGAACAATAAAAGAGGAATTAAGAAGACAAGATAACAATTGACATTACATTTGAATTTTTTGAAGATCACAGTTGATTGGAAATCAAGTTGGAAGAAAGTTCCACAAGTGAGAAGCGCAAAAGAACCTTCTTATATCTAACCATTTCAACTGTGAAATGATGAGACCTAACTGCCAATCTATATGGTGCCCTTATTCTCTCAGTCAACAATGACTTCTTTGAGGATACGTCTACATGAGCAAACACAATGAGATCTCTGATCTATTAGGAACAACCATACTGGTATAACCTGGAAAAAGTGATTCATGTGGGCTATAGCAGCTGAACTTGTGATATGGTGATATCGCCTAATATTTACAACATGACAAAGAGGCATTGATACCGACTTTAACCCAAGAAGAAAGCTCTGTGGCACAATTCCTAATAAGAAGGTTAAGAACATCAATCCAAGTTATGAAATTAATCCTAATCAGTATGCTGGTAACAGAAAGAAGTCTTGTGAATAAGAGGTTCCTATCTAATAGATGACTCAAAAGAAACATCAACAGATAATAAAGTGTGATCCGAATTGCCAAAAGGACAAAGTTTCAATCATCAGGAAGGAATGAATCAAATAATACATTGGTCATAATTATTACAGAAATCCACTATTTCACTGAAAGACTGAGTAAATGAAAAGTCTGAATACTGCCAACATCAGTAATATTAGAATACTTAAACGTCACGTGGTATTAGCATACTTGCATTAATTTCTATCTACTTAAATCGTTTCTTCTTCATTTTCAGTTCATTTCTAAAGTAAGATTATTAGCAATCCATTTCCATTATATATATATATATATATATATATAAAACACATGTACACATCAAGTGCTCCAGACCAACTGCAATCTTCAGCTGAGTGCCGTGCTTCAACAAAGTTTCGGCCCATTAAGTTCAGTATCCCTTCACACGGTGGGCAACACCATATGTATCTCTCTCTCTCTCTCTATATATATATATGTGTGTGTGTGTGTGTGTGTGTGTGTGTGTGTGTGTGTGTGTGTGTGTGTGTGTGTGTGTGTGCTTAAAAAACATTTTGTTTGAAAGATTCTGTACAAAATCTTATTGTATAGACTAAAATGAGAATTGGAAAAAAAAGCCACCTAATATTTAATACACCGATATTTTTTATAAAATATAAATTTTTACAAAGAAGAATTAAAACTTTGTTACTTACTCTCTTAGAAAAATAATTGTTTGTTTTCCTTTTTAAAAACTTTTTTTGCTTAACCGGTTTCGCTTAGCTTTTCAAAAAGTTTTTAACTGTTTCTCTCTCTACGTGGTGATGCTTATATTTTGTACCTATGAAAAAGAAAATCAAAGGGTGTAACTGGCTATATGTGTCGTTTATAGTAAGGGGAATTTGGTAGAATCTATTTATGCAATCAATTAAGTATTCCCCTATAATTATACTTTTCCATAATGTTTGCCTTAATTACCAACCACTGACAATACCTTAATTATTTGTTTTCAACAATACAGACGGAACGCCATCTTTTACTCAAACAATTCTTAGAGAAAAATTACAAAATTCATCACCTGGTCATTCGTTTTTTGGTTTGTTTGTTTTTATTGTTTTTGTTTCTGTAATTCTAATAATATTGAAATGATCATTGGAAAATATATGCGAAGAAACGATGAAATAGCGGTAATGCTAATAAGAATCGACATCGAAATGCAACAGTGATTATGACTTCCTGTAGTGTCACTCGATATGTAGTCATAAAGGTGTATGAAATTTTCATCTATTTATTTAATAATAAATATTGCGAGTTGCGAGTTATGCATACAGTATTAAAAAAAACAAAACTACATTTCCATAGAGGCTTTTCTTCATTGCTCTCTCAATATATATATATAATGATGAGAGTGAAGGGACGTTGTGATTACATAAACGACTGTTTCGTAAATAAACGAAAAATGTTGGGTGTGTTCGCTGATAAAAACTTGAAGGTAAAATTCTCCACAATTTTCTTTTATCATTTTCTTATCAGTTAATTACTTTTTACACAATGTAATTTGAAACACTTCAAAAACAGCATTACGCCTTCTTAGTTTAATGTCTTCTTTACTGATATGAAATAGAATCATTATATTGAGTCAATTGCTAAGTCGGCTCGTTAGTCCACTGTGTTGTGCCAGAAAATTTTACTCGCCAGAATCTACCTTGTACCTTTATAAGTCTATCACTTGTCTAAACAATGAATATTGCTAGAACATCTGCACTGATACTTCTATTATTAAGTTTTGACAGCAACGTAGATTCTGACTTTTTGTGACTTTTCTGTAAATATTTCTATGAAAATTGATTTTATGAGCTTTCTTCTTTGATGCCTCGAACTCATGAATTTTTGGCAGTTAGGTCTCATCATTTTAGTGTCGAAATTACTAAATGTAACCGTAAGTTCTTTTCTAATAGTTTCTTCTCTCTCACTTCACGTTTGTCGAACGCCCTTTCGCTGTCTTCTTTTCTTGCTTTATCAGATAAGACAAAAAATTGATGTTGCGATTGTGAAATTTCTGAGAAATGATTATGATAAACAGTATGAGGAAATAGAGCTTGGAAAATTTAACACCCCCAGGATATAATGAAACAAGAAAGGATAGATGCATAAACAGCGTGTATGCGCAGATGGTGTAATGCGAAGTCGGAGAGCTGATTTCGAATTCCAGTCGGATTTTTTACAATCACTTATGCACAAATACCCGTGGGAAAGGTATAAATCCATCTCTTCCCCCAGCTATGAGTTAAATATTATTTAGAGAAATCATTTTTATTCTCCAAAAAAGATTAATGCAATATCCTCTTAACAATGTAAAATATGTTTCAGCTTTAAGGAAAAGAGCAACACGACACTTGAAGTTTTTCCTCCGGTTGCCTTTTAGAATCCAAGCTGTCATGTCTGTCCTTCTCCTCTTATAGAAGCAAGTTAAAAAAAGAATCTTTTCGTTAATACCATATCTACCCAGTAACGTTGGGATTCAGTGACGACACGCAACGCAATAGATTCTTTATCAGAACACAGCACATGTTGTCATTCACTCGAGTATTTTCTATCACTGGCCCAGTTTTATTTCATAGGATCATTGTTGAATTTGACAGACAACTTCTTCTTCTATAAGACGTGTCCCTTCAAGACGTGGGTGATCCCTCCACCACTTCCCTATGCTTTTTATATCTCTTAGTTTATTTTACTATCTCTCTAATCCCTGTCCTGCCAACCATTTACTCAAGCTCGTTAAGCAGGGGTTGTGCTTCTTTTTCCACCGTATCGCTTGTCTTACGTATGTCTTGTGAGTTTCAATTCTCCAATACCTCTTTCCTCATTATGTACCCGAGAAATTACAATTGTCTCTCTCTGATTGTAAGTATAAGCGTCCTTTTTACTACATTTTTCTTTAAAATTTCCTAGTTACTCACATGTTCAATCCATGGTATTCTCAGCATCCTCCTGTAGAACAAAATTTCTGTTGTCTCAAGTCCCTTCTTGATATATGAAGAGATTGTTCAGCATTTACTGCCACAGAAGATTATATATATTATGTAACAGTTCAGCACTCTTTTCTTTGTTTCTAACAAAAATTTGCCTGTTTCTTAATAGTTTGCTTAACTTTTAGAAGGCATCTTTCACTATTCCAATGCATCTTTGGATTTTGGCGTTGCATTTTCTGTCTTCTGTTAAAACACTTCCTAGATATTTCAATTTTACCATGTGGTGTGGAATACTGATACTTGTGCCTTTGTCTACGTTTTGATTATAATTATCAAAACAGCAAGAAATCAGTAGAGGGTCACAAGGATTTGGAAGAGTGAACACGCCTTCCGCACCTAGATTCCTTAGAGTGGCTAGCACGCACGTGGTGAAATGCTAGGCTAAGGAACCGAGATGCGTTCTCCTGAAGATCTGGTCCAGGACGGCAAACTACTAGTCAGAAGACGCCATTCTAACAGTAATGGATTGCTTTTGTCTAACTGCATGAAAATAGCAGAGGGACGCAAAACTTTTGGAGAGCCAACACGTCTTCTGCATCCAGATTTTTCAGATTCCCTCGCTATTGCCTAGAATCGATGCTACCGCGTCTGTTCCTCTTGTATAATAAAGTGAATTAGAAACCGTCTTTTGTTGATACAGTCTATGATGTGGCATTGGGGTCTGGAGACGAAAGCCAGTGGCAACACGGAATGCTGTGTTCGATACTAAACTAAAATTATAAACTACCATTAAAGCAATAAAATAATTATAATAATGTTCAGAGTTATGAGATAAAAAGCAATAATAAAATAAAACGAAGCCAGACAAATAGAAATTATTCTAATGATGTGGTATTTCAATCCTGAGTATTGAAAGAATAAGTAAGAAAATATATGAAATAAAACTCGAAGTAAAATAATTTTAATGAAGAAACGTTTCAGTCGAGAGGTGTGAGGTAAAAAGTAAAAATAATTCGACGAATTCAATCTAGAAATAAGATAATTGTTTTAATGAAGTGTTTCATTCGCCCAAATAAAAAAACAGAATAGGTTGAAATAAAACTGATACTAAAACAGAAGATAAGCATTCTGTCGCATTGAACTTATAAGAAACCCTGTCCACGTCATCAATGACGTATGTTCTTCTTCTGTGCTGTGTCTCTTGAGAACGTTGGTGATCATAGCTCTCCACATCTATCTATCTCTCTCTTTTATCTCTATCTATCTATATATCTATCTATCCCATTCTGTTGATATCTATCTATCTATCCCATTCTGTTGATATCTATCTATCTATCTATCTATCTATCTATCCCATTCTGTTGATATGTATCTATCTATCTATCCCAATTCTGTTCATATCTATTTGTGACGTCGTCCCCGCGGTCGCAGCGCCGACTGTGACGTTCTATCCTGATCTACCACGGCACCAGTTGTGACGTCCCAAACAGCACCAATTGACGTCCTCGCCGCGGCGCCAGCTGTTCGCTCCTCGCTGCTCCGTTCGGGTGTCGCTGCTCCAAACGTGACGTCCGCCTGTCGCGTCAGTCGTGTTGTCGTCGTCCTGTGACGACCAACTGGCTTGGTATCGGTCGCGGCACCCAAATGTGACGTTGTAACCTTTTGGTGATTCGGGTGGGAATCTGGTTAGATTTGATATCAGCCTCGTCGTTCCCAACTCGCTTCCAACGTCTGGTTACCAAGGTAACTGCATTGATCTCCAGTCCGCCTACCCACGTTGTGAATTGATCTTAGGCAGACGAGATCAAACAGTGGTTGGGGCCGTAATGCAAACTGAGTTCAACGGGGTGATACTGCACAAATATGCATAAAAGAAAAGAAAATGAAAACTCAAAAAGTTCAAAGTATCAAAGAAAAAGGTAACAAACTTTATGTCTAGTTGTTCGATACATAGGACTGCATCTATCTTCCGACCCGTTCTGTGGATTGTGACACGTCGTTTCCGCTAGGCAAGTTTTAACGCTTCAAGTTGTTTGCTCTCTAAGAAATTGGTGTTTCGGTGTGTCTTTGGACGAAAGTCGAAAAACTTATTTCGGTGGTCTGGTTCTAAGTCGCTCTTCAAAATAATTGTTTTTGGGTTGAAGAGGAGTCCCAAATTTGCGCGAATCTTGGTCCAGCTATCTCGAGGCGGCTTCAACTCTGGAAACTCAACTCTCTGCTGGAGCCTGAACTCTCTCTGATTTCTGCCTGTTGGGGCCTGGCTTTTATTGACGCTGACCAAAACCGGGGTGGGTCTGTGGGCGCCGGGGTTTCCTCGATAATTCTAAATACATATCCACCTCTTTTATTTCTGGTTAGGGATTTTCCACTCTTTTCCATTTTTGGGAACCTTTCCTCACTCCCACTTTCTCACGATACCTCTGAGGGGCGTGAACTGCCCTCCCCACTTCTTTGTAGCAGCTTCTCATACTTATACTCTGGATGGGGCGTCGACAGCCTTGTTCGTGCGTCACGTGATCACCACTCGGCCAATGAGGTCTTGGTCGGGTATCTTTCCTCCTCCTTCGTGCGTCACGTGACCACCACTTGACCAATGATGTCTTAGTCGGGCGTGAACAATCCGTGGCTTTGTTTCGGGAAAAGAAAAATATCTTGCTTAACTAAAAAAAATATTATCTCTTCTCTTTCCCTTTTCTTCCGCTTAAATCGCCGTTATCATTTCTCTAGCCACGAACGGACAATATGACAACTCTTGTTCTACACGTGGTGTTTGTCAGGTATTTTATCGCTAATTTATCAAGATGGGTGGTCTTCTTAACATGGCTTCAAAAAGAAATATCCCCAAAATTTTCAGTCAATCTGTCGCCTCCAAGGAAGAAAGAAAAAAACACTTCTGGGTCCCCATTCATTTTCATTCGGTACATATTCCTGATAACATAACTTTATTATCGCAGGCCAAAGTTGTTTCGTCGAAAAAAAAAAATTCGGTCAGCGGCACTGCTTGTGTGGCATTTAATTTTTCATATCTGTCCAAAGTCCTTTTTAGTGGCCTGTTTCTCGTCACTTATCGAAATAGCATTTTCACATGAATTTTTCCTGGCCAGTGGTCCAGCCGTTCGTTTACGCACCTAGATAACACAGCCGTTATCAAAACACATCTGATTCCTTCTTTCTTTCCCTTTCTTTTTTTTTTTTTTTTACTCAGAAATTCCTGTCATTGTAATGACACCCTTTTTCATTTGTTACTTATCAATATTTTCATTGTCTCTTAGCCGTGTGTGTGGCTGCTTATCACCTACGATTCGTCTCGCCTTTCTTTCTGCCTTCTTTTCTTTCTCTTCCTTTCTCTGCCTCGTAAATGGTGCCACATATTTATCTATCTCTATCCCATTCTGTTCATATCTATCTATCTATCTATCTATCTATCTCATTCTATTCATATCTATCTATCCCATTCTGTTCATATCTATCTATCTATCTATCTATCTATCTATCCCTCGGCCCTTAACAGCCTTTCTCCCTTTGCTTATCTCTCCCGTGCCACGTTCCACCATCTATTCACAAAAGATCGTCAGGGTGGGTGGCCCTTTGCCTTTCACTGTCTTTCTTTCACTGTGTGTATCAAATTTTCCAAGCCGTCCTTCTTCATAATGTGTTCAAGAAATTTCAGTTGTCTGATTTTGATTCTGAGCATAGTGTGCTTTTCATTGCCATTTTTTTAAACGAGATGGAAAATGGCAGGAAGTAAATAAAAAATGGAAATAAAACAGATCAAAACTACAGAAAAATGTAGAAAAACGGCTCATTGGAGTCGAATGAAAAGGGACAAAGAAAATGGAAAATGAAAAAAAAGAGAGGAAGAAGAGAAAAATATGATAAATATTTAAAACAAAAAAAAAGAAAAAGTAAAATAAAGAAAGACAGAAATAAGGAGAAAAGAAAGTGGGAAGTAAAGAAAGAAGATGGAAAGGACAAAGGAAGAAAAAAAAGAAAAAGTTACGAAAGGAAAAAGCGTAGATAAATGTAAGAAAGAATTATTTTAAATAGAAAAGCCGAATAAATCATTTGCTTTATATAATCAACGTTTTTTTTTTTTTCTTTTATATTTTAAATGATTTGCTAAAAACATTCTTTCCTTTTTTATTCGCTCAAATTATTTTTCATAAACATCAGCAAACCTCTTTATTTAAAATGTATCTGCTTATAACCGGACACTGACGTACATGATTCTAATGTGAATTGTATCGTCTGCTCTAAACAGTTTCAAATGGAATTTTAATTTCTCCACAGTTTTTGCTTTACCAACATAATGAACTGGCTACTCAATTTCAATAAATTAAAAAATTCTCCATTTTCTTTTCTTTATTTAATAATGTCTATGTCAATCAAATCAGTTCATTGTCTTCTTCTTTGCTTTGAAATTTTATTAAACGCCATATTTGATGAGACAAAATTCGATGACAGGGAGTTGGTTTGTCGAGTATTAAATCAATATTTTTTTTTTTTTTTTTACATTGAAGCAGGTACACCTCTTTCTTCACTTTCCACGATTTTTGAGAAGGAAAGGCCAGAGAGATAAAGTTAATTAAATGTCAGACATTCGGTTTTTGGTACTGTACTAACAATTTTGATATCAGCAATAAGTGGAATATTCACTCGTGACAGTCACCGAGTATAAAGAGAAGTAAAAAGTTACATTTTCCTTGGTTTGTTTCTTTATTTTGATTATGCTTTAAAAACGCCTGACTTGCACAAAGTTAAATTTGAAGAATTAAAAGCAACTGTGTTCATTTATTTAAAATTTATGAAAATATTTTTTTCGTCTAAACAAAATTAATAGTCAGGAGAATGGAAAAGTGGACGGCGTATTTGATGTGAGATAAGAAACTATTTTTTCCCAGGAATATAAACGGGTGTTATATGAGAATATTAGCTATCAAGTAAGCAAATGTTTATCCAGATGCTGTAAAATTGCATCTTAAACAAAGGCATAATATCGTAATATTTAATCTAACTGTTGCAGTCAGATAGATAGATAGATAGATAGATAGATAGATAGATAGATAGATATGAACAGAATGAGATACATAGATACGAACAGAATGAGATAGATAGATAGATAGATAGATAGATAGATAGATAGATAGATAGATAGATAGATACGAACAGAATGAGATAGATAGATGAATGGATTGATAGATAGATGCAGACAGAATGAGATAATAGATAGAATGAGATAGATGGATAGATAGATAGATACGAACAGAATGAGATAGATGATAGATAGATAGATGGATGGATGGATGGATAGATAGATACGAACAGAATGGGATAGATAGATAGATAGATAGATGGATAGATAGAAACAGAATGAGATGGATACATGGATAGAATAGATAGATAGATAGATAGATAGATAGATAGATGATTACGAACAGAATGAGATAGATACAAACAGAATGGGATGGATAGATACGAACAGAATGAGATAGATAGATAGATAGATGGATGGATGGATAGATAGATAGATACGAACAGAAGGAGATAGGATGGATAGATGGATAGATAGATAGATAGATAGATGAATGGATGGAGAACAGAAGGAGATGGATGGATAGATAGATAGATAGATAGATAGATAGATAGATAGATATGAACAGAATGAGATACATAGATACGAACAGAATGAGATAGATAGATGGATAGATAGATAGATAGATAGATAGATAGATACGAACAGAATGAGATAGATAGATGGATAGATAGATAGATTGATAGATAGATACGAACAGAATGAGATACATAGATACGAACAGAATGAGATAGATAGATAGATAGATAGATAGATAGATAGATAGATAGATAGATAGATACGAACAGAATGAGATAGATAGATAGATAGATAGATAGATAGATAGATAGATACGAACAGAATGAGATAGATAGATGAATAGATAGATAGATGGATAGATGGATAGATAGAAACAGAATGAGATAGATACAAACAGAATGGGAGATAGATGGATACGAACAGAATGAGATAGATAGATAGATAGATAGATAGATAGATAGATAGATAGATAGATACGAACAGAAGGAGATAGATAGATAGATAGATAGATAGATAGATACGAACAGAAGGAGATAGATAGATAGATAGATAGATAGATAGATAGATAGATAGATAGATAGATAGATGCGATGTGTCCGATGTTGTGATGTGATCATGATGAGTCTTCACATCCCTCCAATGGAAGCTTAAGAACTTTAAACGGACCTCTGCCTGATATGCGTTTGACACTGCCTGTATAAATCTGATCTGGTCTTTCATATTTACATTTATAACTTTCATGCAACATATTAATGTGCTTAATTTCGATGCTTCTCGAAAGTGTTGCAATCTCTGCAACCATTTCTGCTGGTTTTCTGGATTTGTAAAATCAAATGCTTCTGGTGTAGTTAATTTGAACATATTTTTGTAAGTTTGTCTCAAAATATTTTTAAAAAAACTCAAGTACTAATATATGCATTTCAAAAGCTAAGTAGAATATCAAGAGACAAAAAAATAGTTAGAAACAAAGAAAAGAAAAACAGTTACTTGATATCTGTCCTCCTGTATGACAGCGAATGCTGGCCAATCTCCTCAAAGATGAAGAAGAGACTTGAAGCAACAGAAATGTGGTTCTACAGAAAGATGCTGAGGATACCATGGACCAAACATGAGCAACTACGAGGTTTTAAAGAAAATGGAAACACAAAAAAAGAAACTTATACTTAACATCAGGAAGAATCAGTTGAATTTTCTGGGGCACGAAGTGGAAGGAAGGCTTGAGAATCTGATACTCATGTGGCAGATTTAGAAAAAAGATGGACAGAGGAAAGAAAGGCAGAACATATTTGATGAGCTTGAGTAAATTGATGACAGAACAAGGTTTGGTAGAAGTAACAAAAAAGACAAAACTTATTAAGAGCTAAAAGGACAGGAAGATGGAGGGCCATGATCGCCACACGTCCTGAACGGACACAGCTCATAAAAGAAGATCAGTGACAAATAGCGATTTCAAAACAGAAAGTACCGGTGGGTATCTTTGAACAATAACAATGAAGTTATAAAGAGAATTGAACATTCACATGATGCTGATCTTAAAAGACGTGGCTGAATTAAATGTTTCAAATTTAATAAAATAGCAATGGAAAAAATTAAATGAGTTAAAGAATTTTGGATGTTTTGAATCAAGGGTTGGGTTAGGGTTAGGATTCCTATTTGAATATATCACGAAATTTATATGGCGACAAAGATGAGGACAAAAGTCCGATTACTGTAAATAATGTGCAAAATTTATAGTTTTAATAGATTTCTGACCTGCCATTCCCATTGCTTATTAAATATTCCACAGACAACAAAAGATCGGCAGAGTAAACCAAGACTAAAACTAAGATTTATTGAGCTAATTAAAAGGCAAATGAAAAGGAGATTCAAGTTTATTCAATTTTCAACTGGCGTTAGTATTGCCGGAATCCTTCTACTCGGTTTTTCGTTGAATGTTAAAAATTTGGAGTATCGGGATTCAATACATTAACAAAATATCGTTACAAAGTCGCTCGTAATTTGGCCGTCTAGAATAATCACGATTTTCATTGAAAGAATAAAATTCAGTAGAAAAGACAACGTAGTTTCAACAAATAAACATTAATTTAATATAACGACAAGAATACAAGCAGTTGATGATAGATTGGAAAGTAATGTCTTTTTTTTTTGGGTTAATAAAGTTCTGAAATAAAATATAAACTGTCTTTGTGTACGTATGTGAAAACAATAAAATGTTGTGGTATGTGTGTGTTTGTATGAAAATTCAACATGTCTGTGCGTGATTCATAGTAAAAGCGGATACGAGAGATACGAATTGTTTCTTACTGTTGGCGGTGTTGCCGTAGTCTGAAGTTTGTCAACGCTGTTGTTTTAACATGAGGTCGTGAAGATCATAAGCGAGAGGTGTGTGGTGACAGCCGCGTGCATCCCTGTTTGGGAACGGATTTTTTATGTTTTATACACTTTTCGTAACAAAAATCGGCTCCAGAATTAAATTATTTATTTATTCCTAATTGTCCCTAAGTCACGTGGTATGTCTTTTACTACGTCCGTACGATATTTGGTCGGTATCTACCTAAAAATAATGAAGACTAATACAACAAACATTCTGATTTGTAATCTATGATTTTATTGGTGTCTTTTAAGATGTAAGTATTTTTTCTTGAGTGTGATTGGTTTATAAATATTGTATTTGATATTTCACATGCTGATTATCAAAAAGAAACCATTTTAAAAGTAATCGATAGAAACTTCTTTTTTATTTGAAGAATAAAAATTGTGAATGCCTTTGAAGACAGTCTATAACTTAGAACATTAAGTCGAGTCAGGCGTTCACCGTCTCTTCTATCCCAGAGAAAACGAAAAGAATATTGTACTCACCTGCTGGGTATGGTAATTTCTAAACGTAACTTAGATATGGCACAAGGCTGAAAGTGTTGAGCACCCAGTGAGGACGAACACACTACTCAGTCGTAACTGATCTAGCGAGGCAAGCTTTCTAACCATTACACCACGACGAAGTGCCTAAATGATTTTCTTAACTTGAGCTTGTCTCGCAAGAACAATTACAACTGAGTAGTGAGTTTGATCTTCATTGGGTTCCCTAAACTTTCGGCCTTGTGCCACATCTAAACTACGCTTATAAAGATATTCGGCAGTCGACACCAGTCTCTCCGCTTTGGCAGAGAGGAGCCCGGACGAAGGGCAAAGTTTCGCACGGGGAGGTAGACAGATGCCGAACCCGCTTAACCCCATACATTCCTCGTGGGGGACTGTTAAATATACTGCCTCACCAGATGCCAGAGTGCAAGTGATATAGATCTGGGCGTTTCTATGACGTCAAGTTGCAGTAGCACCACTTAACATCACTTAAGGAAATTGAACATACGATAGGCTGTGCTCAGGATAGTTTCACAACACCGCATATTGCTACAAAACCAAAACATTAACCTGAAAACTCGATTCATGTTCTTAAATAGCCTCATCAGGTTGAAACATCCATATGAATATCATGCATATGCGTCAAATTCGTTCAGTAAACTCTTAGCTGTATACAACCGCTAATTTAGATAAAAGGATTAACGGCGTCTTCAAGCTAATGAAGTCTATAGGTCTTATCGAAGGCCATTCTTATTCAAATTTTGTGGACTGGCGCTACAGAATCATAAAGAACTGTAAACAATAACAGAAACCATCGCTGAGGACTTTCAACAGCAGCAACAACTAAAATGGATAGCACATGTAACTCGAACAGAAAATAATGAGATAAGATGTTGATGTTTGGCAACTACTTCAAAATAAAGGTTAGAAAGAAATCCCTCTCTGATACTATTTGTCGTTGCAGCGGTAAAACGGAAGAAAGTTTTGTTGAAACGTGTTATATACTGAAAGGCATTGAAACCAGAAGAGTTAATACCGAAAACCCGTGGGAAGAATTGAGGATTTAATTCACACAAAACGACTTGAATTGTATTTTAGCAGTTTGAACAATGGAAAAGTGTCCCAGACTTAAGGGCAATGATATGTGTTCTACGCAGCTGAAAATGCAAGCTGTAAAGCGAAAAAATTTCATTTTCGTAAACAATGAATTTGGAGTTGATTCCCTGGTCGAAAGTTGAGTTGGTTTCCAGGAGAGGTGGGTGGATAAGCCACCCATGCACACTGAGGAGATTTAGTAAGAGTAATAATATGAGAGAGTGAATTCCCAAATTATTGAATTTTCTTACTTTGCCAGTTTGGGCGAATGTCCATAAATACGAATGCGCGAAGAATTAAATTAGATGGAGATAAGAGGCAGAAGAGATGGAGTCGAGACCAGAGACAGGGGAGAGTCCCACGTGATTATCTGCCAACGAAAACCTCCGACTTCAGCCTTGCGCCAAACTTTACCAAAACAGCAAAATTAAACTTTGCCAAGTCAACAACGATAGTATCACTTTCGATTTAGACGAGGTCGGACTGACAATTATTGCATGTGACCTTTGATATATCCAATTATTATAAGAAAGAATGATATGAACAGCATTTATTTTGTTCAATTTATTCGAGTATTATATTTTTTTCTCTGTACGTCATCGACATACTTGGACCAGTCAATACGAATACCTGCGACAATTCGATCTTGGCTGCCTTAAGATCTAAAAAAATCACAACGTAAAAATCATAAGGTAGCTCTGGATTGAAGCGCTCACTTCAGCGAACAGCCGCGGTGTTGGAAGGGTGTTGCGATTACACTCCTATTAATACTGGAAGAGCAATAATAGTTACAAGGCTTGAGAAACCGATTTTTATTTCTAAAATATTTAATAGAAATATACATTTCAACTGAAAGTACTGTGACTGCTCAGTTAAGGAATGATAAATGTTTCCTTATAGGAAAACGGCTAAGATCATCATTACCGTTATCACCTTGGGACCTCAAATAGAAGAGGAACAGGGATTAGAACAGATAAAGATAAAAAATCTCAGGATTCCAAATCTCGTCCGCAACATACTCACCGTTTTAGTCCTTTTGTATGGTGCATTTGTACCCACATCGTAAATGTTTTATTAGCGGCGCGAATTTGACTCCTTTCACCTAATCAACATTTGGAGAACCGCTGTCGTTTAAGTGTCACTTCCTACTTAAGAAAGTGCTACCTGTTCTTGTCAGCTACAGAGAGACAGGTGTAACAACCGCCCTCTTTTCTCTCATTAAGACTTTCGGAGTTTTACAATAATGACTCTTCTGTCAGCTGTAATGAAACGATCAGCCTGTTTGGCTTTATTCTCATTCATAGCAAAACAGAACAACCACAGTGATATCCTGTCTCATAAATATCAGTTGACATTAGTTTCCATTTGTAAAAACAATAGATTTAGCGACCTCGTTCTGTCGAATAAAGATAACTCAGTGGTAGAGACTCTGACTGACACTAAATCAGTTGGGTTTCAATCCTAGCTTGAGGCATTCTCTTGTCTAATCGCACTGAAAAGCTGTGATGCAGCGAAACAGTACTGTCTGCGATATATATATATATATATATATATATATATGAGGAGAGAAAGTCTCCTCCATATATCAAGCGAAAGCAATTTAGTTACACACCATGCTCAAGAACACAACGCATTATGATTGCAGCAATGCTGATTTTTTGTT